AGTCCAGTACTTTTTGTAGTTATTGCTTTTATCACTTTGTGAATTGGATGCAAAGAACGCAGTGGTATATGAATTGCAATTGTTAAACTTCAGCTGGGCTTTTTAAGTTCATGAGCAGCTAAACACATTTACCCCGTTTGTCCTTTTGAACAGGTCTCCTAGCTGTGTTGGGAACACTGGACATGATGTTTATGAATTATGCCTACTACAGTACGCTTACCAAGGGGGCATCGGTGCAATTAGTGTTTGGATTTGAGGTGAGAGATGCTTGGTGTACCATCATGGTTTTAGTACTTTAGATTTAGCCCATTAGCCCAGATGGAGGTCCTAGTCCTGTATATACCCAGTTCTGAAGCTGTAGTACCTGTAGCATGGTTTTTTCAGTGAGCTTTGCTTCTGAAGGAAATTCAAATCCTTACCGACATCAATGGCCGTTTTTGGTTTATCGATACCTGTACCCCTGTGCTCACAATGATGCATCCCCAACTGCAAAGGTACTTTGTGTTTGTGCACATTCAGTCAAAAATTGAAAAAAAAAAGCTGGTGAATTTTCATTCAAAAATCATCAAGGGTGGAAAGTCTTCTGAAGGAAATACGTAAATACTTGGAATCGTTGTCGTCACTTCAGCCATTTGTCTGCAAGGAGTTGCCTTCAAGCTGGAGTGCCACTTGGCAAATCTGTCTTCACTTACACGTGAACCAAGTATTCAAAAAAGGTCAAATCCGTGTTCATTGCAATACATTTCAGCGGGTAAGCTTCATGTGTTTGCTAAATTTTTTCTGTTCTCATGAGATCAAAATGTTGAAAAGAGCCACAAAAGTGGTCCTCTTGTGGATACCATTAATTCACTATCATAGGTTCGTGAACTTGATGATTACAAAGTTTGGTTGAATCAGTTTTTCGTGTGTTCACACTTTACTCGTCAGCATCCTGTTTTACAGTTTACCCTTGATTTTTTTCCCCTGTGTTGATTTCAGTATGCCATTCTGTTTACCATCATCATCAACATTAGCTTCAAGTACGTCCTGCACACCATCGATCTCCAGAGCGAGAATCCATGGGAGAGCAAAGCTGTCTACATGCTGTACACAGACCTCATCATGAGTAAGTGAAATGATTGGTTAGAGATGGTCAGAGCATGACCATGCCAACCTGCTGTAAACATGAAAAGCGTGTTTTGTCATAGGCAAGGAGAATGTGACATGTGTGCCGTAGGGTGAAAAATCTGTCGGTGCACACTGCAGCTTTCATTGTTGGCTTTGGATCATCAGTTAATACCCTATGCTCATGCACCTACATGTACCAGGTTGAAGAAAATAGACTTTGGCTCTAGAGACAAGAAAACGTAAAGCAGAGAGGCTCACATTTTGAAGAACACTTGTGCATTTACATGTATAATGCAATTTGCAAGGTATGTTATAATTTATGCGCAAGGATTTTTATTGCACTCGCCTCAGTAATGGAGCATATACACTGCTATGAGTTCATATTGTAACAGCCTTCATTAAAACCCCTGTACCCTCGGTTTTGGTCAATGATGGTCGGTCCCTGCAGTTGAAGGCCACAGCACCGGACAACGGCTAGACATCCAGTGTTTTAACAGTAGTGGCGAGCCAGTCAGTTTAGGACTATTATTTGGGGGATAAGTGGACCTGGGATTCCATGGATTACCTGTGGATTTTGTGGATTGCAAGCACCTGGAGATTTTGTGATTATATGTACCTGTGGACTTTATGGATGTACCTGTGGACTTTGTGGATGTACCTGTGGACTTTGTGGATGTACCTGTGGACTTTGTGGATGTACCTGTGGACTTTGTGGATGTACCTGTGGACTTTG